GTAATGAACTTATCTGTAAAAGTAATCTGTCCCCTCACTGAATTAACATCTCAAAAAGTATACTTTATCCAAACATTTTAAGAAATACGAGGGGTGTTTATCTTTTTCCTGGTAATAGCTGAAATTTAATAACTGAAGGTTTGGCCTTAGTTTTTTTAGACCTTTAAGAATATACACTAGAAAACATTTTTTTATTATAATCTCATGCCTGGCTATTTGGCCAGCAGGGGTCTGACTGTTTGGTCTTCAGTGGGAGCAGGTTGTTCTTGTTGTAGCTAAACCATGGACTGGTTGTTTATCTTTTGGTTGCTTAAGATTAATAATATGACATCTATTTTAAATGTAACATCATCTTATAATGTTGTTTATCTTATATAGAAGCCAAAGCTCGACCTAAGACTATCATTACATATGAAACTCACAGGTGAAACTTATTATCATTTAGCATCACATTTTACATATTGGTAAAAACACAATACAGCTGGCAAACATCTTATTTTTAGTTAACACATAAAGCAGATATAAGCTTTTAGTGGTCAGAAACCAGTTTTTATCAAGGAACCTTCGGGTGTGGCTCATATAACCAGAGGTGTCTTAGCCACAGACTTTAGTGGGGATTTACCAAAGATCGGCTCGAAAAACCTGTCTTTTGCTTTTAAGAGTGGCAGCTCTTTCAGAGTTCACTAGCTGGCAGAGTAAACATTGTTTATCTAAATTTTATAAGGAATATCTTAAAAGCCCGAACAAGATTATTTAAGCACTTTACAATAAAAGCCTTATGTTTTAACTTATCTTTTATCCAATTAAATGATAACTAAACTTAGGAGAAAAGGTCAAAAAAAATTTTTTTACACTTAAATGTGTTTTGGTCCCGTAAGTGTGCTGCTTTTGGAGATAGCTCCTTCTGGTGTCACCCAGAAGTCGGTTCTCTCCACTGTGTCTCAGGGTTAGTCTCCCAAAGGAGACCTTCCCAGAACACTAAGCCGGGACATGGCTTTTATATGTGTCCTCCTGGACGGGCATAGTTCTTTTTGTCTCATCTGACCCAGAGACGGGGTATGTGTCCTTTCTAGAATGGCTTTCCTGTCTTCGGCGTTAACAAACACTCGTTTTCTAAGGGCTTACTCAGCTGAAACAGTCAGCGTTTTTAATTTTTACATGCCTTTTAAAAAGGAAAGTGCAAAGAGATAGGAAAATTAGGAATAAAGTAAAAGCAAGGAAACTGAACCAGATCAGGCCCGACATTCCCTCTAACAAGTAGAAGGGGATCAGAACCAGTCTATCCCAGTGAAACCTGTCCTCCAAGTCTTTAAGAACAGTTGCCGACCTAATGTCATTTAACTGGCAAAAGGAGTCCCGTTTTTTATATAGGCATGTAGGGGTTTTTTTTAAGTCTAAGCTGCCTAAAAGTCCTATTTTACAGAAGTTTACATAAAATCCAAAAGGAAGTTTATTAACCTTACCCTCTCTAGTGCTATTGTCTAAAATTGAACAAAGAATACCAGTACATTTAGCAACTAGTTCAAATATAGCATATACAAATATAAAAGTCATAAAATGTCCCATTAAAGAAATATCATAACCTTATACCAATTTTATGTTTTAGCTTAAATTTACCAACACATTTTGACCAATATTTTAACAATTATATAATGAATTTAGTACCGGTTGGCAGGTGGAACAAGCAGGTTCTGAGGGTGATGGTCGGGAGTCATAGCCACTTTTTATCAGTTGGAACTGCCAGTGCGACCAGGTGGAATTAGTCAGTTGTCTGGGAATGGTGTCCAGAACAGCAAACCTTGAGTCATTTCAGGGGGTCAGCAATGGATGGTGGAGGATGTCAGCTCAGAGTCCTTCAGGGGGGCTAGGAGGGGGATCCCGAGAGGGTGCAGGTGGGTGGATCCTGGATGAGGTCAATCCAGACTTATATGTAGATGATCTGATCTGGATGGACAGGCGGGTCAAAAATGACTCAGCGAAGGCCTGAGCTGTGGAGAGAACAAAAGTGCCCTCGGGAGGCCAAGAGACATTAAAGGAGGGTCATTCATGTTTACAAAAAGCCTGCAATTTGCCAGGAAACACAGGTTCTTTGAATCCCTTTTGCTCATTCTCTGAAATTTTTAAAATAGTTAAGGACCAAAGTTGGGGGTGTTGATGACACAGAAGACATTTGTCCCATGATGGTCGGGGACGGACAAAGAAAGACAGACAAACACAAATAGACCAAACAAAACCAAAACCAAACCAGTCCAAACCAAATCTCAAAGAGAAAACAGACTAGTCCAAACCAAATCTCAAAGAGAAAACAGACAAGTCCAAACCAAATCTCAAAGAGAAACCAAATTGGAAGGCATCCCCTCCACCAACTGGAGGGCGTCCCCTCTGCCAACTGGAGGGCATCCCCATCCCAAAGTTAACAGAGCCCTGCGGCGAAAGGGACACCCAGGTCTGTTTGCCTCCCTGCAACTGAGATCTCCAACAACAACCAAGAAGGGAAGGACGAGCACAAGCTGCTAACCCCCCACAGTTAGAATCTGTAGGGGTAGGGGAGTGTTAGTAGGGGTGTACTAAAAGAACCACACTTAAAGAGACACCAGAGGTCATGGAAACTACAGTTCACAACTCTAAAATCAACCAAAGATGTGTCTGAAAGGAGAAGCATGGCGACCAAAGTTCTCTAAAATGTGTAAAGCCAAATCAAAACCAAGCTGGCCTGACAAAATTTAGGTTGACATTTACTTACTGCGTTAAAAAGAAGTGGCCTTTAGGGATCCCGGACGAGCCCCCAAATGTTGTAGCTCAAAAATCAGATGACAACGAGGCAAGTCCAAAAATTAAAGAAGCGCTTTATTTTAGCTGGTACCCAGCAGCGGTCTCTATGCAAGGTGCAAAGAGTCGTGCCGAGCATTGACAAGGATCAGTACTTAAGCTTGAAAACTGCAAAAACAGGGAAGGGGTGGAGAGGAAGAAGTGGCAGGGTCACTAGTTCATTGGGTGGTCCCATTGGGTGGGGTGCTGAGTTGTCAGTCATACAGAGTTCATTGAGATAAGGTTTGGGGAACAGATATCATAAGACTTGAGTCATAGGGGTGAGGAATTGGGAGGAATTTGAGTTGGCAGTCAAGGGGTGAGGAATTGGGAGGGGTTGGCGCATACAGAACAGGAACTCGGCGAGGATAGAAGGGCAACAAAATGGAGTCGATTTTGACAGGGTACAACACCAGGACCACACTTACCTAGCAGAAAGGCAACTTAGATCTACATGATTGGGATTTCACAACCCTGGTATGGGACAAGGATTGCCCGGGGGGAGGGCCTCCTTGCTACGGCTGCAGTATATTTAATTGTCTTTCTCCAAGACAACCGAGGCTTGTGTTTCTCCAACAATTTCATCCTCCAACTGGGATCAAAACCACAGTTTCATGAGATGGGTGCCAACGAAGGCCAACGAGGTGACGCGGGGCAGCCCAGACACATGAGGTGCATTCATAGTTCTTGTCTAACCTAAGCCTTAGAAAGCACTGTAAGAGCTCCCCTTACAAGGAGCAGACAGGTAAGGTGAGTCGCCCAATATCACACAGCTTTTCAGTGGCAGACTGAAGATTTCAAACCTAGGAAAGACTGCAAAGCCTAATGTGAGCCTTATATCATGGCAGAGGTCCCTAATCCCAGCACTTGGGAAGCTGAGTCAGGAGGATCACCTTGAGTTGAAGGCCAGCCTGGGCTGCACAATGAGACCCTCACTCCAAAAACAGACAAACACAAAAACTATTAAATTTGTTCTCGCTCTCACTCTCATTCTCACTCTCATTCTTGCTCTCTCTTTGGAGACAGGGTCTTGCTACATAGTTCAGGCTGGCTTTGAATTCACTATGTAGTCCAAGGTAGGTCTTGAACTCCTTGCTATCCTTCTGCCTCAGCCTCCCGAGTGCTGGGATTGCAGGCATGTGCCACCACACTAGGCTATGAATGTGTTATTATGCTCTGCGTTTCTATGATTATTGTGACAGAAAAATAGAATTTTTCTTGTGTGGGTCCACTGGATAAATCCCATTTTGGCACATGTGTGGGCTGGCAGCATGACCTTGTGTGGGCACCAGAGCAAAATGGAACTGTAAACATTCATTTTTTTCCTAGAGATAAGAACTCCTCCAGAGTGTGTCTTGTGGGACACACAGCCAATACTCTATCTTCTCTTTAGCTCAAAAGAAGAACAGAATATGCAGGTGCCACCAGCCTCCTTTCTACTGAGCCACATCCCGGGCCCCAGAAAGATTGTTTTAAATGAGGCAGAAACCCATGAGAACTCGACCTTTGCATGTCCTCAAAGATGAAGAGGACAAACTAGAAATGGTAAAGTAAGTGTGGAGCTTGTAGCTTCTCTCTGTGCCCTCTCTGCCCTGTTCCTTACTATAAAAGACCCTGGCACCTGGGGAGAAGGTGAAGTGAGGCAAATACTGTGTAGTGGCCTGTGGTAGCACCAGGCTCTCCCCTGCTTGGGGACAATTTCCTGGCTGAATCTTTGACCCAGGGTGTCTCTACTGCAGCAAAGTTTCTGACACTTGAGCTGAACAATTCTTTGTTATAGGGATCCGTTCTGTGGTGCACGTCCAGTAGTGATCAGTCGCCTCTCTCTCCCCAGTCTGACATCCAAAATTATGTTCACACATCACCACGTGTATCTTGGAGGGCAAAATCACCCTCCCTCCCCCTTTCTCCCCTTTTCACTGTGGTAACTACCCATTTTTCCTGAGTAGTTACCTTTTCCCACAGGTTGTACAAACTCCTTGATTGGACCTGCCTCTGTTCACATGACCACCCTGAGCCAATGGCTGTGGTGCGGGGGTAACGCAGTGCAGGGATTGGCCAAGCCTGGAGCATGAGCTCCACCCTTTAACCTTGAGCATGAAGATTGGTCCAGTCCAAGTCGGGGTTGAGCTATGTCTGAACAAAAAATCCAGACTTCTGCACCAGCAAGAGTAGACGTGGAGGTTGGCGAGATGAGGAGTAGCCACTACAGCCGCTTCCTTCTCCGCACAAAGTTCTCCAAGCTGTATCACCGAACAGATTGGTAGGTGGTCCGGTTCTCAGCGGGCCGAGTCCTTGATTTCTCAGTGGGGCAGAGGATGCAGAGGTCGAGTTCTTATGGGTTTGTGCCTCATTTAAAACAATCCTTCTGGGGCCCAGGAGGTGACTCAGTGGAATAAGTGCTTCCCTGGCAAGCACAATGGCCTGAGTTCAATCCCCGGTTTCTGCAAAAAATAAATAAATAAATAAATAAA